TGGCGGGGTTCTGGTTTTTTTTTTTCTCGGGGAGATCTTAGGTGCAAAAGAGACGAGTTTGACGGCACAATCAAGACGTTCGAGATGATGACCAACGAAATATGAGTGATCGAAAGGTCAGAAGTACAGGAGCGCAGAGGGGTGAGGCGACGCGAATGAGGCACAATCTATCTCTTTGTGGCGGACTTCAAAACCCACATTGACCTGACCAGTCACGGGACTAAAGGCACGTGATTTATTTCCACACCGCCTTCCAAAGTTTGGTCTTGGCTGACACATCGATCAATTACGTCAGCAAACCAACGGGACCTCGGGAGATGGGCATGGATGTTCCCTTGTACACTCCGGTACTCGATGGCATCTGAGCTTTCTACGAATCAGAAAGTTGCCTTCGATCATGCTGACCATGCTTTTCGCCTTCATTGCACAGTCGTTCTCCGAGGGTCTGCGTTAAATTAACTAGCGATAACACCTACGGAGTACGGAGTACAGGGCTGCATTCCCCGCTTATCAGTCCCCTAGCGCGCCGCGGCGCCCTTGGCCCTTGCCTAACCGAACAAAACAATTCGGGCTGGGCTTGTCATCCCAATTTTGAATTGCTCTCATCTTTAAATTTACCAGCATTTATGGCGGTCTACTTCATGTCTAACTGTTTAGCATAACACTCCTCATACGCCTCTTCCAAAAGATCATGTCTGAGACAAGTTCATTACTCCCTGGGGAGTCCGACGGACTCGGACGTCGGACTCTACGGGACCGCATTATCGACGCTTTCCGTTCGTCGCCTCAAACCGGTCTTGGGGTTTCGACAGCTTCAAGCCCTGACAACCACACGGCACAGGACAGCCAAGCCGGCACCGGGGTTACGAGCGAACCAGACGTGAGAACCCGACTTCTGGAATCATACCTCCAAGCCGATCCCCCGTGTGGGGAAAGGCGCTGCAGCCATGGCACGTTCTCGCCACAGGTAGAAGATATGGGAAGACGTTCATACATTGGAGGGCGGGGCAATGCATTTGGATATAACGAACAGGAAGTGGCGGACGGGGCGGCCGGTCGTCCTAGAGGTATAGTAGACCATCTGGAGTCGGTCTCAGGTTCGGAGACTCCGTCACAGATGAAATCATCTTTCACTTTTCCAATAACCGACACGAATAAACAGTAGGTCGTATCTTATCCATACACTGCGAGCACTTTCGTAGCCTGCCTCAAGACTAGTAGCTGACGAACAAGTGGCAGATACATATCCTATTATGTTCCCTTTTTCAATTGGATTGGACAGTATCATTGGTCATTCCTGCGCGGGGATCTTATGGCTGCGTTGACCGTGGCATCCATCTACATCCCGATGGCCCTCTCTTTGGCCTCCAATCTTGCCCATGCACCACCCATTAGCGGCCTCTACTCTTTTGTCATCCATCCCTTGGTCTATGCCATCCTAGGGAGCTCCCCTCTCTTGATAGTTGGACCGGAGGCCGCGGGTTCCTTGCTAACGGGTGCTATTGTCAAAGCAAGTGTCATGCAAGGAAACTCAGGCGAGGACGACCCTACAGAAACCGCTCTTATTGTAGGAGTGGCCACTGCCATGTCCGGCGGCATGATACTGATTGCTGGACTTACCCGCCTAGGGTTTTTGGACAACGTGCTCAGTCGACCATTCTTGAGAGGATTCATCACTGCCATTGGCTTTGTGATTTTTGTAGACCAGCTTATCCCAGAATTGGGTCTGGCCGAGCATGCCAAAGAATCCGGTGTTAGCCATGGCACTAGTGTTGAAAAACTGATTTTCATCTTTCGATACGCTAGAGAGTGCCATGGACTAACTGCCGTCGTTTCGATCGTCAGCTTTTCTGTCATCATGGTGTTCAGGTTCGCACCGCGCCCCCCGGGCTTACATTCATCATACTGATCATTCGCAGAACTTTGAAAAAGATGCTTGTGCCTCGTATCCCCCAAGTCATTTATTTCCCAGACCGCTTCCTGGTTGTTGCCCTGTCGGCGGTTTTGGCTTGGCACCTCGACTGGGAAGCCAAAGGGCTCGAAATCCTTGGACCTACAGAGGTCGGCTCTGGAGGACTATTCGCTTTCACTTGGCCTTTCCAGCCTGCGTATATGAAACATGTGCGCACGGCATTGAGCAAATCCTTTATTATCGCACTACTTGGCTTCTTTGAGTCATCTGTTGCGGCCAAGGGGCTCGGCGAAGGCAGTTCTGCTGGCATCAAGGAAATGCACATGAGCGCAAATCGTGAGATGGTTGCACTAGGCGTTGCCAATGTCATCGGAGGTTGCTTCTCGGCTCTTCCTGCATTTGGCGGATACGGGCGAAGCAAGCTTAGCTCACAGACAGGAGCACGATCACCTATGACTAGCGTTTTTTTGAGCGTCATCACATTCACAAGTGTCATGGTGCTATTGCCTTATCTCTACTACCTCCCGGTCCGTCCCTCTGAAACCTACACCATACCTGTGTCTTTTTCCAAATGCTGACGATGCTAATTCCCCAATAGAAAGCAGTCCTATCCTCCATGATCTCCGTGGTAGCCTTCACTCTAGTGGAAGAATGCCCGCATGACTTACTCTTCTTCGTCCGCCTGCGGGGCTGGTCAGAGATCGTCCTCATGCTCCTCATCTTCACAACAACAATCTTCTACTCCCTAGAACTAGGCATGGCGATGGGAATGGGCCTGTCAGTCATAATCCTCATCCGACACGCAACGGCCCCCCGAATTCAGATCCTGGGCAAGGTCCTCGGCACACCCACGCGTTTCGACAACGCCGAACTCCACCCGGAAAACGTGGAGCTAGTCGAAGGCGCCTTGATCGTCAAGATCCCTGAACCCCTCACCTTTGCCAACACAGGCGATCTCAAGAGCCGCCTGCGGCGTCTGGAACTCTACGGCTCCACTCATGCTCACCCTTCTCTGCCGCGCATGCGCGCGCCGGAGCATAATAAAAATATTATTTTCGACGTTCATGGCGTTACGAGTATCGATGGGTCTGGTACCCAGGTTCTCACAGAGATTGTGCATGCGTACGCGGAGCAACGCGTGAGAGTGTTCTTCTGCCGGTTGCCGAATAGAAGTGTTTTCCGCATGTTTGAGCGGAGTGGTATTGTTGAGACATGTGGTGGGTTGACTCATTTCGTCCCCAGTGTTGATGAGGCGCTGCGATTGGCGGAATCCGAGAACCAGACACAGGAGATATAGTGTCTGTGTATCCTGCTAAAATTGGTGACATGTGTTTGGAAAGGGTTTGGATATATTGTATGGACATATTGCATTTCAGTCATAAAAAATAATCAAACTGTTGTATTCCTTGATTTTTTGTCGTGGAGCAACACCTATCAAAGACGGAGAACATGATCAACTATTATTTTCCAATAATGAGCTTTGTTTTCTTGGGTTTAATGGGAAACCGAAGTAAACCATTATGCTTGCTATGCATCACGATCAGGTCTCCTGAGCGTGGCATTTTGGCGATGAAAGCCGGCATTGCAGCATCCGGAGTAGGGCGAAGCATGACACTAACTGTTGCATTTAGCTGCCCGCTTTGCACTTGGTTGCGCGGTCGTGCATTGACAGAGAGCTCAGCGGATTGAATAGTCCCAAGAGCAAAGCTATGAGCTCCGTGGATCCAGGCAGGTCATGCTGATGGGTTTCACTGCAGCCCGACTACTCACGCCGAGCTCTAAGTATATTGGAACGTGTTCCAGTTTTCACACTGGCACAGAAAAGCACCCAGAAAGTTCACGTAGCTGAATGATCCTCCACAACAGCCTTCTGAATCACCGACCGCAGAAGCAATTCTCCTGCCTCCAAAGTAGGTTCATTCTTCTCTCCTCGAACTCGGGAGCCCTCGTCGCCATCCCCAGCATCCCTATCAGCAGAGACAACCAGCTTCACACGTCCTTCATTGCCCAAAACAAAAGCAGCACAGGCAACTTTCGAGAGTCGCACATGCTGCTTAGCAACCTGATCCGAAGACAACCCGTCAAGATCCAGCTTCATGGCGAGATGATTCTCCAGGTACGAAGTAAGATTGGAGATGAAAGGGCTGCGCAGTTTATGCTGAAGACTGCGTGACTTCGGCGCCGATTGTCCAGGCTGATCGCGCAGGAAGCCCGCCAGTGAAACGCGCGCGACGCTCACATTCAGGGATCTCAGCGCTGGTGCGATCGATGATGAAAAGGAGAGCGTGAGCTGTAACTCTTTGATAGCATCTTCGACTATGTCACTTGTACTTGGCCGTCGAGTACGCAAGGTATCGATGTACGTATCTAGACCTGCGCAGAGAAAACTCGATGGCAGCCGGAGGGGCGAGCAGTAAGTGTCGAAATTGGTAGATAAGAAAGCGACGAATGTTTGCCGGAGCGCAGTTGGAAATCTAGTCAGAAGGAGAGGGAGAGACGTCGATCCTGTGCGCTGACTTGGGGGTGACGTTGTGTCTGCGAGCAAAGCTGCTCTGTAGATGATGTTCTCGTATTCTAATGTTACTAGAATTCCAGAAAATGTGGCACTCTGGGATCTGCTTGGCGCTTCGTCACGCAATGATTGAGGTGAGATTGATCGCCATAGACAATCTTTTAGGGCGCCAGTCTTGGAGAGCGCGTCATCGTCTGCTGCACCAGTGCTTGTATGAATACCAGCGAGGACATCGCCTGTGAGATGGTCGCGTAGACGCGTCGCATATGTTTTCAAGGCGACCTGGTTGTTTAGGAGGGTTTCACAGTCCTTCCCATGATGGAGAGGGGATAGACGGTGGACGGTCCAAGAAGTATTGAACAACTGTCGTGGGTCAGCTTGTTCCATGGCACCCAATGTGTGAGTCCGCAATAAATCCGGCTAATTCTTATGTTACAATTGAAGTATATTGTCGTCGAGGAATATTGATATTCGGTTCAGCGACGCGTGCGGGTTGCAAACCAAGCAAACATCTATCAATTTCCTAAGTCACTTCGACTACAACCCGCAGTTACATTTATTTCGATTTGAGAAGAGAAAAATAATAATGAAATGGAATGCAAATACAATTGGCTGAAATTTTCGTACATCCAACTCCAGTATATCCCGGTATGCGAATCTAGACTCCGAGCGCCCTCCAACACTTAAAACTCGATGTATCATGCCTGCCATCCCCTAGTGGGACGGCAATCTGGACACCCAAAAACAATTGGAATACCATTCCAGACCCAGACGTGCTCTACATCATGATGTATCGCTCGCCGGGTTCTCAACTCGGCCTCAGCAGCAGCAAACCAGATATCTTGCACTGAGCTATGCAAGTTCTGCGCAGACGCGCGCGCAAAAACAACCGAGTTCATGTGGTCCTTTTCATACGTCGTCGTGTCTTGATAGAAGTTGTACATAAACTCCTTGCGTTGCGTTCGCTGGCTCCCACCGTCCCCAATCTCAGCGGAGAAAAACTGGACGATCCGCACAAACGGCGCCAATGTGAGCAACGAGCTAATCCACGAGTCATCAATCTCAGCTTGTCCATCCGGAGACATGGCATAGCGTATATATGAAACAAGTAAATGCATGCAATGGTGTGTCGCAACTAACGCCGCCGTGTTGGTGAAGGGAGGGCTTTGGAGGATTCGGGTTTGTAGCTCGCGGTACATCCTCTCGCGTATATCCAGTGGTAATGGTACGGGCAGGTGGCCCGCCTCGTATTTTTGTACGAGCATGTTTGTGTGCTCGCGCCGGGCGGACGCATATGATTCGAGAAAATAGAGTGTATAGTACCTAGTAAAGAAGTCAGTGATCTGCTGCAGTCAAGCAATTCCCGCTGATCTTACATAAGTGGTGCAAGATGGAACCATATGCTAGCTATGCCACGTTTGACAAGGGCATTGCGATCGTTTCGCTTTGCAGGAAATGAGGCCTTCATGACGTCCGGTTCGGTCTGGATGAACCGATCGAGAATCCGATCTGCCAGGTAGTAGCAGAGCCTCGAGCAGAGCATTTGCCTGCGTCGCAGCCCATGCAAGTATTTGAAGGTATAGAGATGGCCACCCCTGGCGCTTTTGGACGGTGGGAATAGGTCCGATAACAGCACGACATCATCGCCGGGGTTTCGAGTATAGGTGCGGTCATCGTCGATCGGGGATGGAAGGGTACCGTGCCGACGCAAGCGGAGATACTGTCGGACAATCTCATGTTCATTCCCGGTGAGCAGTTGGTAAAAGGCCTTGCAGACAAGTCTTAGCGGATGGAAGTCTGTGATGCCGGAATATGCGAATATGCGGATTTGAATCTCGACGGGGAGGTCCCATGGCGAGGAAGGTGGGAGACCTGCATGTTCCTTTCTAATGGGGAAGTCAGTCAGTGAATCTCCGCAGATTGTCGCAGAAGATCTCACCTTGGAGACGATCCACGTTGCTCCTTGGCACCGGCCTTTCTCCTGTTGTGGATCGCTGTCCGGACTTTTTGAACGGAAAGGGCGAATTTGGCAAAGCCACTCATTCTTGAGCCCTGCCACACATGAATTGACTGGCTCCCAACGAGAGGCGCACTTTGCCGGGGCTCATGGAGATAAAATAAGTTATAAGTTAATTGAAGGGGCCAAAATCTTACCTAGCTAAGGTTCCATAAATAGCACATGACTAAGCCCCTCGTGGTCCACGGCAGGGCTCTTATCGGAACGTATTGAGATTCGACTAGCATTGTAGCATCCGAGCGCAAATTGAATGCTGATACCTCCAGTGAGACATGCCAAGCTTTGATCTCGTGTCGAATATGATCAAGTAAACCAAAGGACTAGATAAAGTTTATAAAGTCTCCGAAATGAACATCCAAGATCACAGACTCTCACCTAAACCTAGGCAATGATCTGATAAGAACGTGATATACGGAGTAGCCAAGTTATATATATAGACCATGGATGCAAGCCACAGGTTGTACAGAAGAAACTGGCTATACATAGAACCCTTGCAAGCCTATGCAGCAATTACGTCATTTCGTCAATGGCGTGCCCGGGGCATATATAAAGACCTTTAAAGACCTTCCTAAACCCATACATTCGAGCATATTACCCCAAATTTCAAAATGTCCAACGTGCTTATTCTAGGTGCCACTCGAGGTCTGGGTGCCTCTCTGCGGACACTGTACTCCGCAAAGACAACCACCCATGTGTTTGCAACCTCCCGATCCTCCAACCCAGAGCCAAGCCCAGGAGTTACCTGGTTGACAGGAATTGATATCTCCCAACCAGACGTGGGACGAAAGCTTGTTTCGCAGCTTCCACCTACGGAGCTCTCGACAGTCATCGTCAACGCCGGATATTTTGGGTTTGAAACATTTGATTCTCCAGACTGGGAGAAGCAGGTCCAAATGTATACAACCTCTGCGATTGGTCCCGTCTTTGTGGTGCACAGTCTCGTTAAAGCCGGGTTGTTGCACCAGGGGAGTAAAGTGATCTTTGTCAGCAGTGAAAGCGGCAGCATCACGTTACGCCATGAGAAGGAAGGTGGGGGTAACTTTGGCCACCATGCCAGTAAGGCTGCTTTGAATATGGTCGGGAAGCTTTTGAGTCTGGACTTGAAGCCGCAGGGGATTGCAGTGGGTCTGGTACATCCCGGATTTATGCGGACGGAGATGACGAAGAGCGTTGGATTTGATAAGTTCTGGGATGCAGGTGGAGGTGAGTGGCCAGTGCACTACGTTTACTTATGAAAAGGCCCGTGGAGCTTGTTAGATCTAACCTGATATATTTCGGACAGCCGTGACACCGGATGAAGCAGCGAAAACGCTTGCATCTTTCATTGAAGGGTTCGATATTAGCAAAACCGGAGAGTACTGGGCCCCACGAGGACCAAGGTAAGATATTTAATTGCCTATTATCAGAAACCAGCCTAATATACCCATCGCAGAGATATCGGCACCGCAGAAGCCGTCCTTGGGAAGAACCTGCCGACTCCTTTGCAACTTCCGTGGTAGAGAATAGACGGACGAATATGAGCTGCCAGAGCCGAAAGTCTCGCTTCCTTGCTCAAATACCAGGTACCAGACTCCAGATTCAGAGTAGCCGTTTCGAATCTAATGAGGGCTGCGCATGCGGTCTCGCACACATAAACACTAAATCCCTTCCCATGTCCTTTCGTTCTTCATGCCCGACAACCTTCACACCAAACATCTTCGCGTAGAAAGCCTGCATGCGCTCATCATCAGTGAGCAGCATAATACGACGTAGATACGGCATGTTCTCCTTCGAAAAAGTCTCGGCAACACAAGCCACAAGCCATTTTCCAAGTCCGCTGCCTTGATACTCGGGGAGAACGTAGGTATCCGACAGATAAGCAAATGTACAGCTATCTGTAACCATACGAGCAAGTCCGACCTGTTCAGTGTTTTCTGAACATGGGATGGTAGAATCATTCACAGATTCTAGGGGTTGGGTCCACCTGTACACGCCGAAACTCAACGCGCCGTGGAGGATCTGCCACAGCACATCCTCTGGGAAGGGCTTTTTCTGCCAGTAAACGAAGTCTCTGTCAAATGCAGCATTGACTGCTTTAACAGAGAGTAAGCTGGGTTCGGTTGAGATGAAGAATTCGCGGTTGTTGTCTCGTGTCCACATTTTAGGTGGGAGCCCACTTGTTGGCGGGGCAGAGGACATGGCGGATGTAGACAAGGTTGGACGTTGGGTGCCGGGTTATGTTCGAGAAGATACGTAGTCGGGCTTCAAGAACGGATGGTATCTTGAGATGATTTTATTGTATAGTGGTTGAAGAAATTGTAGTCTGGTCCAGGACTCGTTCGTCGTTTTGAGTCATGCGCTAAATCTGCACTTGGCGTCACGGCACATCGGTCTTATAAAACAATCATGAAGCCACCTTTCGAATTAAAACCACTTTTATCATGGAGAAAATAACTACAAGGAGTAGAGTATCCAGGCTGAGAAGAGTAAGATCTTCACATTAGAATTGCATGGCTTTGGGCCGAGAAGCCATTATATCATTTCCCGAGACGAATGAGAATCCATGAACCCCTCCCTAGACTTGCCAAATTTGCTCATAAATTGAGATCTCATCTGTTCTTTCGATATCCGCAGCCCGAAGGATATCGTCATTCCCAACGTTCTCTACTATTCTCCATGACCGTCACACAGACAGTGCCGTTCTAGCTGATACATCCACTACACCGGCTACTCCGTATACACCATTGGTTGACACTGCGAAGATGTAATCGAATTTTATATCCGGTGGACGGAACTGGCTTCAATTCCAAAAATCAATTTTGAATCATCTCTCATGCAAGCTCGACTTGCCTAAGTACCTATCATTGGCATGGTCTCTACCTATGTCGTCCTCTCCATACGTTACTTGTTACTTTGAGTACTACTACCGTTTATTGGAATTGAACATAAGGATATGCAAGGTTATGTCTAATAAGCCGCAAGAGTCACGCCGGATGGGAGATGCAAATCGTTTGATCATGCCCTGGGCGATGTCTCTCAATCTGAGTGTATCGCGGCAAGCAATAAATGGTTCTGAAAGCTTAGATGAACATGGAAAAGAATCAAACTAACAAGACACTAAATAAAATCTCGGCCAAGTCCACGAGCACGCTCCCCCTCCCCCAGTCTGGGGCTCCTGCCTTCGCATCTTTGGCATCTTAAAGGCGCAATTGATAAAGGTTCAGAGTTATTCATATTGAACAATTCGGGCGTATAACTAATGAACATAGATAGAATAGAGGTAATTTAGTGTAAGGTCTCTAACATTAAATCTATAGAATGAAAGGGACAGATTGGATAAAACATAGGTAAACTAAGGGGAAGTCTGATTACAGCGGTTACTAGAAATCGTCTGTAGTGTTTTAATAGTAGCCTACATATCTGGCCTGCCTAGGTTATGCATCAGCAATTGATCCAAGCTGTCTTGCTAGGCTATTTGCACTAGATCCGACGGCGTAAGTCATTACGTGGCTCGGCTTGTCCTCAATATCATTTCCCGCAGGCGGGGTTAGTCCGGTGGTCACTATGCGTGCCTCAAAAACTGACATCGAAATAATTGCCTTTATTCGGTCATTGATTTAGCTAACATCATCGTGCGCATTCTTTTAACAAGGCTCAGTTTCCATAATAAGTTTGTCTTTTAGTCGTAGGTGTGAGGTAGGAGTGACCCAGAACGCATGACTGCATCGCGCGGTCACCACCTCGGAGTTGACACCCGGTGAACAGACACGTATAATATATAATGGTAAAGTGCGCTAAATCAAGGATGCATTCAATCAAGAACTCAGACTGAGATACGGTCATCATGGCTACACATCCTCTTCAGGCAATTGGGGAGGCCGTCGGTGCTGCTGGAGCCGACCCGCGGGTTCTTCAACGCTCCTCGCTCTTTCAAGGCGCCAATGATGGACCCGCGAAGACAGCAGCCAAAATTACTGGGGTACAGAGGATCGCAAAAAGAGCCGATGATGGGCCCTATTTCACAAACAATGAAGCCATACCGTTGCCGGACCCAGCCCACAGTAAAACTGCAGGTGGGCTACCTGTCGTCTCTGATTTGTTCCTACTTCAAAAGCAGCAACATTTCAACCGGTCCAAGAACCTAGAGCGAATGGTTCATCCTTGTAAGTGCAGGAGCCCTGTTGTCACCTGAATCACAAGTTGACCTATATCAGGCGGTAGCGGAGCGTTTGGCTTTTTCGAGACCACAAAGGATATGTCCTCCCTCACAAAAGTATGTTTTCGGAGTATTACTAAATCGGCTTGCTAAACTCTGATACAGGCAAACTTTCTGAGATCAACTAATATCAAGACACCTGTCTTTGTACGGTTTTCTACAGTGACCTTTGGCCGGGAATTTCCGGACCTGGCGAGGAACCCGCGAGGTTTCGCTGTGAAATTTTACACAGGGGAGGGAAATTATGATGTCGTGGGGCTGAACTTTGTAAGGAGACTACACCACTATCTTGTTGTCACTAATCCTTACATATGTACGCTATAGCCGGTATTCTTCTGTCGCGATCCAATCCAAGGTCCGGATGTTATCCGCTCCCAGTACCGTAACCCAAAGAACTTCCTCGTGGATTATAATTCGCTTTTCGACTTGCTAGCCAATACTCCTGAAGGGTACAGTTCTCCCACAGACCTAGGAAATTTTAGGCTAATTATTCCTTTAGCAACCATGCTGGAATGATGTTCTTCAGCGACCATGGCACTCCCGCCGGATGGAGAAACCAACACGGATATGGCTGCCATACATTCAAGTGGTATGTTAACCTCAGAGAGTTGAAAGCATGGCATATTAACAATTCTGTCAAGGGTTAATGCCAGCGGCAAGTTCGTGTATATCAAGTACCACTTCCTCGTGGATACCGGGCAAAAACTGTTCAATGCGGAGGAGGCTGTGAAGTATGGAGGGGAAGATCCCGACTACTCCAAGAGAGATCTTTGGAGCGCTATAGAAAAGGGCGAGCGGATATCATATACTGCGCATGTGCAAATCATGCAACCCGACGAAGCTGACCCAGTGAAACTCGGATTTGACCCCTTCGATGTTACGAAGGTCTGGCCGAAGAAGCAATTCCCGGTACGTTCAAGACAAGTTTTTACCCAGAGTAAAACTCCTTCCATTCTGCTGTTTACTAAGTTCCACAATGTAGCTACATGAATTTGGCAGGCTTGTGTTGAACAAAAACCCCGAGAACTTCCACAGAGACGTCGAGCAAGCTGCCTTTTCTCCTGGCAGCATGGTGCCCGGTATTGAGGACAGCCCGGATCCTCTGCTGCAGTTTCGCATGTTCTTTTACCGTGACGCCCAATACCACAGAATCGGCATCAACCTGCATCAGGTGCCAGGTGAGAGATCAGAAAAACACATCCAACTTGGTTCTGATGCTAACGCCTAAAAAGTAAACTGTCCGTTCATGGCGTCGTCATATTCCTCGCTCAACTTTGATGGTCAAATGCGTGTGGATGCAAACCATGGCATGAACCCACAATACACGCCGAACAGTTTTACTCACAAATTCCGACCCGATACTGCCGAGACTCCATATCAACTAGCTGATAACATTGTTGGGAGGAAATCACACTTCTATCATGAGGGTTCACCTTCAGAGTATGACCAACCTCGTGCGTTATATCGAGATGTCATGGATGAGAAAGCGCGAGCCCATCTTCACTCAAACACCGCGCGTCACCTGAAACTAGTGGAGTACACAGAGATCCAGGTGAAGTACCTGGCGCAATTGGCGCGTATTGCCCCAGAGTACGCAAAGTCGGTGTACGACTTGCTTCCGGAGAAGAAATTCGATTTTATAGAGGTGGAACAACGCACAGGGGGTGCAGAGCGTGTTGGTAAGGAGGCCAAATTCTTGCCAACTAAGGAGACAGATGTATTGCGGGGATTGTGTCCGATGAAACCTGTTTACAATGTTTGATTTGGTCACTTAATTCAGTATAATCAATTGTTCTCTGCTCAGCTATGGATTCTCACACTTGATACCTCACCAGGCATACTTTCGATGAGGCTTGTATGGCCTCCAGTTTTGCATAGAATTATATACCGGTTCTAAGCCCCCAAGAGCATCGGGCTGCATGATATGTCAATCCTCTACTTGATTCAGATTGTAGCAGAATATACTTGCGCATGTCATATTCGGCATTCAGAAAGCAGGAAACCAGGAATTCTTTCTCTCCAAATGGCGTTGTCCTTAAACAATTGCTGCGCTCCAGTTGGTGATGGCGTCATCACCAACCTTCTCCTTGATAATTTGCTGGCTTAAGTTCCAAAGTGCAGCCCCCAGATTGGCATTAGAAGCTTGAGCAGATTCCTTGCCCTTTTCACCAGGGTCGGTCAGGTAGTATCCATTCCATCCCCTCTCTTCAATATCCGGGCTGGATGCGGCATATAAAGCGCTGAAGGAGCCTTGTTCAACATCACGACCCATGGCAAGCATAGCTGATGTGATAAGCTTTCCTGTAATTCCCGGATAGGCCTCCTTCCATTGCTGCTGCATGGCGGTATTGACCTAGAGTTGGGGTTAGGCATGGTGCACGCTCTTCTTGATGCCATATCAGACTTACCGCCCCCGGATGCACTGAGAGAGCGTAAATGTTATCCTTGTTTGGTTTGATAACACGCTCCACGAGTCCGTACTTGACTCCTAGGATGATTGCCAGCTTGGACCTGCCGTAAAGCTCAACAGGGCCCATTTTGGGGTTATTAATTTCATCGAGTGAAGCAAAGTGAACGGCTTTCTGTGAGGAGCGATGCTGCTCTGATGATAAGAATACAATTCGAGGGGCGGGTGTGTCGGGGAACTTGGATGTTTTGCGCAACAGTGGGTAAAGCAGATTGCAGACATAAAATTGGCCCAGCCAGTTTACTTGGAAATGGCGGTCAATTCCGTCGTTCGTCTCGCCGTATTGGTTTGCATTGATACCAGCGGATAGCACCAGCTGTGCATATATAACTATAGGTTAACCGACGATACGATACAGTGTGAACATTTGAAGTTTCCTACCAAATCAAGTCGATTTTCCTCCGATCGTATCTTGGTGAACCTTTCCTTTGTCTGCTTCAAGTCTCCCATGTCGCACGGGATCCATTGGATGTTTGCATCATCACCGGCTTCTTTCTTGATCTTTTTGACTGCTTCGTCACCTTGCTCCTCTTTCCGATTGACCATGATAACCCGGGCGCCATTCAAAACAAAGGCCCGGGATATCTCATAGCTGCCTGTCTGTCAGTAAAATCCCAAGCCAACTTTTTCAGTGATTGTCAGACTCACCCAATGCCCAGTGCTCCACCTATTACAACGGCGACACGGCCCGTGAGGTCAGAAACCTCTTTCCTAGGACCAAGAACTGGTTTAACCACAGACTGCATTACGATAAGCGTCCTAAACTGGATTCGAGTCAATTAAACTGTGAAATAGATTGGTGGAAGTGGCAATACTGCTATGGACATTGATTGCTATTTATACTATAAACATTATGACGGTGTATCTCCGTCATGTGCTTGGCAAGGATGCGTCCAAATGTTCCAAAGGTTGGTCTATAAATTAAGTAATCATGACGTTCTAACGTTGTCTACAGAAGTTTGTCTGTTCTTGTGGAGTAGTGGTAGGACGTGGAGCATGCATAATACTTCTAGTTTTTCTCGGGCAAATTATAAAGCCAAGAAACTGCCTACAAGCGCCAAAGACGCAATAGTTAGGGGCTACTTTGAGCTTTTTGTCTGTGATATTGTGCTCCCGCCAATAGGAGCGAGCAAGGGTTAGGGTACAATCCATGGATAGACGTGGAGATGAAGTCGTTGTTGTCGGCTCCTGAGTGAACATAGGGCGCGTAGAAGAAGCTGTTGACCGATGCTAAGGTCGTAAATTGTTAATTTTTAGCCTAACCCTTAATATTATGAGATGATTGTTGAGGCCGGGATGGCCCAGGTTTGCTTTGCTCTTAGGGCTAGAATCGAGGAGTTTCGATGTTATGTTATTTCAGCCAGGCTCTACTAAATACACTTCAGAGTTGGAAGTCTCATTCCTATAAAGTACTCCGGTGCACACGGAACATAAATATCTATTGGTATGAAGACCATTGTCTTCAAAACACATTGGAAGATACAAGATAGACAGGTCTTTGGAATATCCCCAAAGAGCTCGAATCGGCCGAGATATCAAATTGCGACATCCCAATTGCAAACAAAGAATACCCCAACATCTACTCCAACAATGCACTCCGCAATGGCGCGGGCAGTGGAGAAAATGGTGTTCCCGATAACCCCCTCGGCACGTCATCAGGGACGGCGATGGTGTTAGGGACATCGAATCAGTCCCGAGAACATCACAAAATAGCCGCATATCCGACCCAGTTGTCGAAATGAAGCCAATTATCAGATTCGACGCGCAGGATTGCAATTCGCACTAGGTGGCGTGTAAAACGTTGCGCATGACGTGCAGGCAGGCGGGGGTATGTCGTCTACAAGAAAGCCTGGATATCCAACTCGGTGCGGCAGCGGTACGTGTTTACGCTGTGATTGTTGGGAGACTTGACAAGAGGAAAGAAAAAAAGCAAACCCATCGCCATGGCTTTTGTACATTCCCCTGAGGTGGCTCTTCCCTTGTCGAATATCGGACCTGTCTCGGAATCGATTAAGGGTCCTTCGGACTTGAATGGGCCCACCACTGTAACGGTGAATAGCGATATCAACGGATTATCAGAGAAGATTGAGAATGTCCGGTTTGAACTAGAGGAACACCCGGTTGATGTGGTGCGGCCCATCAAAGTCGGTATTATCGGTGCTGGTCTTGCAGGAATCACCGCGGGCGTGTTGCTCCCTGCGAAACTGCCGGGACTCGATCTTCGAATCTATGATAAGAACGCCGACGTGGTATGTTATTGCCAATTGATGGGATGTTTCGAAGCTAACCACATTCTTTAGGGGGGCACATGGTACAGTCTCCATTCTGGCTTTTGTCTTCATTGGCGTAGAGTTGCTAACTCGTATCGAACAGGTTCGAGAATACATATCCCGGAGTTCGCTGCGATATTCCTGCACATGTATACCAATCCAGCATCTCGCCAAACACGCAATGGACGGAAGAATTCGCCCAGGGACATGAGATTAGACAATACTGGCAGGGTGTTGCACGGAAGCACAATGTGTACCAGTACCTTCGTGCGGGGCAAAGAGTGCAGAAGGCTGAATGGAAACCCGAGAAAGGGAAATGGAATGTCACCGTTGAGCATGTGGATGGCTCGAAAGTAAGAAATAGTTGACATTGATCCTTGAAGTTCTGTGCTCATATCGATGCAACAGGTCTATGAAGAAGAGCTAGATGTGGTAATCAATGCCATCGGCCATTTCAATGCCTGGAAGCTACCCGACTATGAAGGAATCAACACTTACAAGGGAGATCTGTTTCATTCCTCTAATTGGGATCCAAACATCGATCTGAAAGGCAAGCGAATTGCTCTTATCGGCAATGGCGCTTCTGGCTTGCAGGTCCTACCGTCGATTCAACCATTTGCTAGCCACGTTGATCATTACGCTCGAAATCCAACTTGGATCGCAGATTCATTCAGCAGCGGAAGCGTGGGAATCCGTCGACTGGAGGCAAACTTGTTTTCCGATTCACAGCTAGAGACATGGAAAGATCCCAAAGCGTATCTGGAATACCGAAGGGGTGTTGAAAAGGGATATTTCCAGCGATTTGGAGCAATCTTCAAAGACACGCCCGAAAACAATGAACTGCGCGAGAAATGGACCGCCCTGATGCTGCAACGCATCGCAGGCAAGCCGGAGTTGGCAGAAAAGATCATACCAGACTTCCCCCCAGCGTGTCGTCGTCCTACACCAGGACCAGGATATCTAGAGGCCCTAGCCAAGGAAAACGTCGACTATATCCAGACGCGCATCAAGCGATTCACAGAGAAAGGCATTGTGACTGAGGACGGGGTGGAGCGAGAAGTGGATATCACGATCTGCGCAACAGGAGCCAACGTCGACCACGCACCCCCGTTTTCCATCGTCGCTGATGGAGTCGACCTAAAGAAAGCCTGGAAACAGGACGGTAAATTCGGATTCCCGTACTCATACCTCGGTTTCGCAACACCCGGGTTCCCAAACCTCCTCTGGCTCGGTGGACCATACTCCTCCGGACACAGCGGGACAGTGCCCAACAACATTGAGAACCAAGTGACATATATCGCGAAAGTGCTGCGCAAGATCCGCACGCAGGGGATCAAGTCCATTGTTCCGACCAAGCAAGCGACCGATGACTTCGTCGAGTACTGCGACCACTTCTACCCACGCACTGTCTGGTCGGCGAACTGTAGCTCGTGGTATAACGGTGGTAAGCCGGGGTCTCGCATTCATGGTCTCTTTCCGGGTAGTGCGTCGCATTCGAATTATATCCGCCGAGATCCGCGCTGGGAGGATTGGGAGTATACCTATGTTAATCAAAGTGGGAATCGGTTTGCTTACTTTGGTAATGGGTGGACTTCGAAAGAGTTGACTCCTGGTGCGGAACTGACGCCTCACCTGAGATTGCCGGAGGAGATTGATTTGAAGTCTCACATGGAGGGGTGGTGGGATGTTTGATTTGTTGTTAGACTAGAAGATTTCACTTGGGAATACCTATATATACATGAAAATCAACATTAGGCAATACTCATTCTTATTCCTTTTTGACTGTGTGTTCCCAGTTTGAATTCAACATGAGAAGATAAAGCCATATTATATTTCTAACATTTGCTAATACATATGTAGCGACGAAGTCCTTTGAGATTTGCTCTGATGCAAAAATGCTGCTAATTCGATTCCTCCAATGAATACGGAGGCACCTCCTGACCCTCTTTCCAGAAGTATTTCGCGCCAGGGTGCGCATTAGGGAGTCTGGTCTGACCCTGCTTCCCATACATGTTCTCCCGGAAAGTTCCACCCTTGACAGCATAGTCCGACCAGAACAGACCACGGCGCTGCAACTCCGGCAGCAGCAAACGAATAATATCGTCAAAGGTATCAGGGAGACTAGCATAACTGAGGTTGAACCCGTCGACATCGCCAACAGACACCCATCGCTCCAGCTCATCAGCTACCGTCTTCGCACTCCCAATGATCTTGACACCATTACCACCAAGCACCAAATACTCAGCAATAGTCTTCTTATCCCACTTCTGGCTCTCGGTGCCAGGCACCGTACTAGCCCAGTGGTTCACCATACTGCGAACAGCAGGAAGCTCCACGAAACGGAAGTCCTGATCATCAGAGTAGGTCGACAAATCGTATCCAGTCCAACCACCGAAAAGAGCAAGCGCGCCCTCTCGATCGCCATACGTCTTCAGCTCCTCGAACTTAGCATGCGCTTCCTCGTCCGTCTCAGCAACGATCACCAACGCACCCGCCACAACCTTGATATCCTGCGGGTTACGTCCAATCTCCGCAGCCTGCTGGCGAATACTATCAACAGAAGGACGAACAAGCTCTGGTTTCTGCGCGTGCAAGAACACAGCCTCCGCATGCTTCGCCGCAAACGCCTTACCCGCCGTCGACGTACCAGCCTGCAAGATAAACGGCGTACGCTGGGGACTGGGCTCACAGAGATGAGGACCAGGAACCTGGAAGTACTTCCCCTTGTGATTGATTTCACGAACAGCAGTTGGATCCGCATATGGCTGGGTCTTGCTCTCGGAGCCCTGCTTCCAGGTCACTGCGTCGTCTCTCCAAGATGCCTCCCACAGCTTGTAGGTGACGTCCAGGTACTCGTCCGCGATGCGGTAGCGCTCGTCATGCTCGACCTGTGTGTCTAGGCCAAAGTTGCGAGCCGCGGAGTCGAGGTAGGAGGTGACGATATTCCAGCCGATGCGGCCATTGCTGAGGTGGTCTACTGTTGAGAAGCGTCTTGCTAGGGCGTAGGGGGAGTCGTATGTTGTTGAGGCTGTTACGCCGAAGCCGATTGATTCTGTGGCTGCTGCCATGGCGGGAATGCTGTAGAGGGGATCGTTGATTGGGAATTGGGCAGCCGCGGGGATTGTTGGGGTGAGGTTTGAGGGGCCTCTGTATACATCGTAGCCCCCTAGAACGTCCGCGAAGAAGATGGCGTGGAATTTGGCATCTTCGAGCTTCTTGGCTAGGGTGATCCAGTGCTTGATGTTCTTGTAGTCTGCGCCTTGGTCTGTGGGGTGGCGGAATAGACCTGGGTTTAGGTGGCTCGGCGATTGCATTGCAAAGGCATTGATGATGAGTTGTTTCTTTTCGGAAGACATGGTGATTGGTGGCAGGCCGAGAGGAGAGGACTGAATTGACCGTCTACCGCAGCTCTGGAGGAGTAGATGATATTTATTATCTATTGTTCTTGCATGTGTCAGTATCTGTCCCGTGCAAAAAGACGTGCAGTTGGAGGCCGATGGCGTCAGCATGTAACTGTGGGGTTGTACATAAATGGCTGGCTATTAGGGGTTTGGGGGATTCTGACGGTCAACACTATTTGATAAAACGTGTTGTACTTGTTTATCCTTCTCGTGCGAGTGAAGTATGGCGCGAGATTATCCCGTATAGGAAGGGATTTCTCTATACTTTCTATACTCACTGTACCCTATGTGTCTACTATACTTGAGTTTCTCGAGGCGATCATCGGCTCAACACCAACCTCATACACTTTCAATTGTTCGAAAACAATGCAGTGTTCTCTTTATTATCGAATTTTGTATTCAATCAAGTCTGCCGTTGCTAGACGCCCCTAGCAATGGATTCGCTTCATCAAAGCCAAGAAACGAAAATGCAAGGTTTGGGTCAATATCCCCATAGAGATTGAGCGGACCCCAATAATGATTCAGATGTACCGTTCCGTCTGCCCCCGAGAATAACGGCTCCATAGTTTCTGCGTCCGTTGCCATCGCTCTTGTTTCAGCCTTTTCCTTGGCCCGACGTAGCAGTTTCGCTGCCTCAAGGGCAAAAGCACATTCGTCCATGATCAACAAAATCTCTACAGCCATGTCAATCAGGCGTAAGAGCGGTTGGGTCTCTGTCGGAATCGCTTCTTGTGCAAGGTAGATAAGAATGATGCTTGCGGCAAAGACGGTGTACGTGACATTATAGAACCTATTGCTGGGTCAGGATTGGATACTAGAATATTAAGGCCAGCAAATACCATGTCCTGAAGAAGTCACTATGTTGATACGTCTGATAAATGAGATCAATGGTTTGTTTGGCCGAGCCCAGGCATCTTTGGACCCCTCCTTGAGATCCGGAAATTGATGCTCGATCTTGAGGTGTCAACCTCAGAAGGAAAGACCCGAAAAGGAGTATCCTCAAGTTGTGATACCCTATATCCAGTCGGTTAGTCATTTCTCTGTGGGAGCCCCAAGGCCGACGAACTTAGTGTTAACACCAATCTTTGTCTCTTCATCCATTGCTGATCCCTGGCTCTTCTCAAGGAAGGAAGGCTGCCAGATAGTTCTGTTGGACGTATAGCTTCGGGGAGCGTTTCGACCCACCGCTCGAGATCCTTCTCAATTTGATACGCCAGATGAACAGTCCTTGGAACTGTCATATCTGAGAGGTAAATGCTTTGGCAGATACTTTTAGTGATTCCCGATAGATCTACCATGCACTTTATGATAGAACAAGACGGATGTTCCAGCATCTCGCAACAGCCACCATGACCGACGACCTCGCTGTTTTCTGTTACTGGGAATCGCCGGTTATGATACATATCCGCCCCAAGAGTGTCTGGTCTACCCATGGCGAAGGATATTTCACTATCAATCAGAGTCAAAGGAGTGGCTCAGTTGAATAACTTCAAGGCATTTATGAGGGAGACAACGCACGTTTCAAGAGAGTAGAGGCCCCTTACACGGAAATGTCAGTGTTCACGATGGACCAGATGTTGACGGGATGTTGACTTGAGCAAAGACTTACCACCATGTTCTTGATTCCGCCTTTCGCAGTTCTGCGGATTTCTTCGTATTGGTGGCAGGCTCTCGATTAATGCCCATGGCTAGGGCAGTCCGTATTGCAAGACCGACATACATATACGACACTGGCAAGAGTAAGTAATCCAGGATATAAAACTACAAAAGCCTTGCACTAACAGTGAGGGTGTAGCTCATTTTGGCACACCTTGGCCTGTAAAGTGTTAGCTGCAGGAGCGGCGATGTGAAATGGAAAGACACACAAGTATGAAGTAACATTGGGCCATCTCAAGGTCTGTTACCATTCCAATTTGGTTGCAGCGGGTTTTGGCTTTCTCAAAGAATTTGCGGCTCCATTGCATATTATCGACGCCATCGATGGGTTCATCATCTCTCGTACCCACAAGCGCACCCAAAGAGAGAACACTGAAGTATAGAGCTGTGAAACTTGAAAGCTCTGGGCCAGCGGCTTCGCTTCCGGACCACAACGACTCGCACCGCTGTAAAAAGGTATGCTTGTCGAGAATGGGATGAACATAGTGGATAGTGGTGAAGAAGGCTTCCAAAAACCCGCGACACTGTGGGTACCAGTTTGAACTATCCGGGTAATCGATCGCTCTGCGGCTTTCACGGGCTCTTTGCGACTCGGCTGGGCTAAAAGCAGTGTTGTGCAGGGTGGAAAGAAGAGAGCTCACGTCAGCTTCAGGCTCATCCCCGGTGCGTTGAATGTGCGAAAGAAGAGCCACAGAAGATGAGCTGCCGTAGAACTCAACATCTCGAGTGTGGGAGTTAACACCAGATACCTCTTGTTGGCCATTCTCCCAGGGCGATGTGCTGCTTCGCATTGCGGAATCATCGTGGTTGGTCCTGGAATGCTGCGTAGGGTTGTGGTCCAGAATAGACCTCCCGGGAGTTGCCCCTGTCGGTTTGCCCCCAATTGATTCGGCTGACGCTATTTCATAGGCCTCGATGCGGGAAGAGAGATCCTTCACCTGAGCTTCAAGTTTCCTCACGTAGCTAGGGAAAGGCGATTAGTTTGGACTATAGACCTCAGGGCTGGCGAGAACAGACTCTGGTGTGACTCGAAGCCTAGACATATCCTGGCCCTTGTAGACACATTCGACACCTCGACCTTGGGCACCGTCAGATGGCGACCTGGAGATACTTGGGGGGAGCCAATGCCAAATAACATTGTCAAGACTAACCTTTGCAGTAAGAGCAGGGGTAAGACTCATCGCATTTGTACTTTTTCTGTCTACAGTAATCGCAGGCACGAGCTGCCCGAGGTCGCCGGGCGCGCTGGCCTGAATTCCTCGCCGAATGGTGATTATTTGGAGACTCCATTTTGATACAGTGTTGGAATGTTTGCGAGTCAACTGCAACAGACGGCCAAAGCAATGTGGCCTATGCAATAGCCTACGCAGTAGCCTATGCAGCCTGCATGTCAGAAAGCCTAAGAATGCCGTATCGAAGCTGCACGGGCAAATTGAGGGTTCCCTCAAAGTACAGAGCGTGGACTTGGTTGTACTTGGTCCACTCAGGGATGATACTCTGGTGCGGGGAACGCTATATTTGTGGCACGTGCCCTACAGATCTACCGCACGCTTAGTCTAACCTCGGCGATTCATCTTTGACCTTCGCAGACACAGATGAGTCTGCTTTAAGCTTTCATTGCTTCAGATGGTTCACGCTTGCATTCTCAGCCAAGCTGTTCGTCAGAAAGTCCGTGATGGCTCAGCACCGGAAAAGCCGGGAGATCTAGATCACGCACCCCCTTGCATCTCGGCTTTTCCGGCTACCCTGCTGGCCAAGACACGGTGAAGACACGGGTTCTTTGAGAAAAACATATAGCCGCCCTTGAAATATGTTTCTGTGATAGAGGGCCAAGGCCTCTGATTGTTTCCCGCTTTTCGAATCCTCCATTGTGATTCTCAATCTCGTCGTACTACGGCCGCCCATCGCAATGGTTAGTTTGCACCTGCTTTAGTCGAGTTTCCATTCTGACTGACCTCCTGTTTGCAGCCTCACTCTACAGAGCTTCAGAAGGCATTCATTCAATTGGATGTCGTGGTTGTTGGGGCAGGCCTTGCAGGTCTCGCTGCAGCGGTGTCAATCTCCCTCTCTGGTCACCGCGTGACGGTAATTGAGTCAGCCAAAGAACTGCTCGAGGTTAGCCATCAATCCCGGTGGATTAATCTATAATACTTACCTCCAACCCTTCCAAAGGTCGGCGCAGGGTTGCAAGTGACTCCCAATTGCACTCGCATCCTCCAGAGGTGGGGGCTCCCAGAGAGACTATGGCTCAGTGCCGCCGAGCCTAGCGCTCTGACCGTTCACCGATACTCCGGTAAGGTTCTTGCTAAAGAGGAGAGCTTCGATAAGAAGATGCGCAGCAAGTACGCTGCTCCGTTCATCGGTCTACATCGCGTTGATTTGCAACTCTCGCTATACGAGAAAGCCAAAGAGTTAGGCGTTGGGTTTAAGCTTGGGGAGAAGGTCGTCAGTGTTGACTTCAAATTGCCCAGCGTGACAACCGAGTCTGGCTTCACAATGAGGGGAGACCTCGTAGTCGCAGCAGACGGATTGTGGTCACGATGCCGCTCAAATTTCTTTGGAACTGACGATATGCCTCGACCCACTGGGGATCTGGCGTATCGAGTCGTGCTAAACTTGCACCAGCTTGATGACCCTGAGCTTAGGTCTTGGGTCAACAACCCGACCGTGCACTTTTGGATCGGACCTGGGACACATGCTGTGGGCTATTCCTTGCGCGGTGGGACGATGTATAACATCGTTTTACTTGTCCCCGATGATCTCCCTCCAGGAGTCAGTCGACAGCCTGGCTCAGTCGAAGAAATGCAGGCACTTTTCAAGGACTGGGACCCCATTCTTGGAAGATTTCTGAGTGTGGTCGACCAGGTTGATAAGTGGAAGCTGATGCATAGTCCGTTTGCGCCTTTCTCAAAATCGCGATGAGTCTGAGGCTAACAAATCGTGCTCATGTTAGGGGAGGAACTTCCTTCTTGGGTCAACGAGAAGTCAAACTTTGTTTTCGTGTAAGACCAACTATGTCTACTCAGCTCCTGACGATTCAATCCTTCTAACTCATACTGTCTTTGGGCTCTACAGTGGCGATGCCTGTCACCCAATGCTACCGTATCTAGCCCAGGGCGCCAACTCTGCTGTCGAGGATGGTGCTGTATTAGGTCTTATCTTGGGTCACTTGAGATCGAAAGACCAGTTACCCAAAGCTTTGAAGATGTACGAAGACTTGCGCAAAACCCGGGGTGATGCTATCGTCAAGGAAACTTTCAAGCAGGTAATTATTACGGAAACTTGGTACATAGCCATGAAAACACCTTTACTGACCAGCTGTGTGATAGCGAGACTCCTTTCACCTGGCAGACGGCCCAGATCAGGAAGCGCGGGACAAGATCTTCCTCTCGCAGCTCGGCAAGTCGCAGATTCAAGGGGCCTTCCCTAGCAAATGGACCTGCCCCCAAGTTCAGCCGTGGCTCTATGGCTATGATGCTTTTGAGATTGTGGAAAAGGCGGTCCTGAAAGATCCGTTTATTTAGATTAGATCACCAGTATTGAATCATCCAAGATGTACAAGTCAACACCCATGGCTCGCTGGTTGAGCTTTCCCACTGTGGACCACTGCTTCTGCGCGTCAAACTGAAGTCAGGGAGGGCCGAACGCCTGTGATTACAGCTGGGGAGGCCTTTGTACTAGACTTTGCTAGTCGATACGTAAAAGTTCGGTCCTTCACTAACGGTCGTGCAATTGAAGAGGTGGTGCGGAATGCTGGGACACAGACTTCTGAATAGGTGTTGCCAGACAGTGCTTTATCTTGGGAGGAAGAGAAGCTATCGAATGTATGTCCAGAGTTGGGTATAGAGGTCTCTTGACAGGCCTGTGTTGTTTGCTCCTGGTCTTTTCGTCCCAGATCCTGTGCATGACCTCTTCTCTCATCACGCAATTTCAGAGCTTTTTCAGAAGGGAAGAGAGTCGGCTACACCAATGCCGCCTCGGAGTTTCCAAGTGCGTGTTTATTCGAGTACAGTAGTTACGATCACAATGTGGATAAGCTTACGCCACTCAGTAAAACTTGGTGTCTATTTCTTAGCCGGATTTTTTTCGAAAATAACCTCCCTAGAGAGAGGGAGGCGATGCTACCCGATTGCTGGGGCCGTCGAGCTAGGTACCCATGTCAAGGAGCATACATGACGGACCATGACGGCAACAAACATAGACACTCTCCACGCTGACAAGGTTGGCTTTAGTGATTTCTAGCAAGAAGTCGGGTTTTCCGACTACCTCCCTCGTGGCCGGAGATTAGTTCGGCCAATAGCTCCGCAATAGTCCTGAAGATCTGCATGACCCAAGCGAATCATCCCGGGCACGGCTGTTGATCGACCATAATGCGGAGAAAGGATTCGGCATATCTTGTACCCAAGTGGAAGAAGAAACAGCAGGAAAAGAAGGCACAGATTCAAGGTCGGATATCCCCTATTTATAACAAGCGCAATGCTCCCGCTTTGTGCAAAACAATGAAGAAAAGGTTCTCGGGACAGATTGGATAAATCCCAGGACCATGCATCTCTCATCTCCAGCCTCGATTCTCCTCCTCAGTACTCTCTTCCAAACAACCACCAGCAAACCCAGCTCCTTCCACCTCTTACTCAACAGTAACAAAAGTCATGGCTATATAAACTGGCGCACCTTCCACGGCCACGGCGTGAACCTTGGCGGCTGGCTCCAACAAGAATCAACGATCGACACAAACTGGTGGAGCACCTACTCCGGCGGCGCAAGCGATGAATGGGGCCTCTGCGCCCACCTGGGCTCAAAGTGCGGTCCCGTTCTCGAACACCGCTACGAAACTTTCATCACGACACGGGACATCGACACCCTCGCCAGCTCCGGGGTAACCGTCCTCCGAATCCCAACGTCGTATGCCGCCTGGGTGCGCGTTCCCGGATCGCAACTGTACCCAGGAAAGCAGAAAGAACATGTGCGCCGCGTTGCTACATACGCCATCGAAAAATATGACATGCACATCATCCTCGATATCCACTCTCTGCCTGGCGGCACAAACGGCCTAGATATCGGCGAGGCGGTCGGTCATTGGGGCTGGTATAATAACGACACAGCTATGAAGTACTCGCTTGATGCTGTGGACGCCGCGTTACACTTTATCCAGTTCTCTTCGGGTCATCCGCAGGCCTACACGCTCTCGCCGATTAACGAGCCAGTGGATAATAGGAATTTCTCGATGTTTGGAACGCCTGCGGCGCTCTCAGAGGCTGGGGCTAGTTGGGTGTTGAAGTATATCCATGCTGTTATTGACCGGACGCAGAAGGTTAATCCCCGTATCCCTGTCATGTTTCAGGGGAGCTTTAAGCCCGAGACGTACTGGAGTCCACATTTTCATGCTAGCACGAATTTGGTGTTTGATGAACATCATTATTATTTCCAGTATGATAACTCTACTTCGGCGAACTTGCCGGACTTTCTTTGCAAGGATGCAAAGGAAAGTGCTGGTGATGGGAAGTTTCCCACCTTTGTGGGCGAATGGGCGATTGAAGCTTCGAAGGACAATGACCTTGGATTGCGAGGACGGAATCTTCAGGCGGGGATTTCGGCGTTCGGGCAGTTTACCAGGGGCAGTTCGTATTGGACTGCGAAGTTTTCCAGCAATGCTACCATCGGGGGACAGGGCGGGAAGGGGAATTATTGGAATTACGAGGAGTTCGTTAGGATGGGGTATTTGGATGGGCAGGTTGAGGTGCCGAATTATTGTTCTTAAAGGATTATGGGCAGAGCACATGATTTATCTACCACAGCAACCTATTTCTGCTTAGAGACTTTTCTAGTAAGAAAGACTAACTAGTTAATAAATCCATGGACATTCTAATACAATGAGAATTAACCAAAAAAAGTGCATCATCCGTGAATCGAACACGGGCCTCGTCGATGGCAACGACGAATTCTACCACTAGACCAATGATGCTACTCTGACATAAGGCTATACACTGATGTTTAGAAGAGCTATCTTGCTAATATAGGCATATGAAAGTATCCACAAGCCGAAAGCCGAGCCTCTCAGCACTGCCCTGAGTCGAAGATGAAAGTTTTTCTAGGCACTGCCTCCTCTTGGGGCCAAAAGTACATGGGGCCATCTATTGGTTCTTTGGACTTCCAAAACAGGCATCTGCGTATTCGCTCTCGCTTTCAAGAGGCTTCCAGGGTTCTGACAGCTCATGTGATTGGCAACACAAGAGCTTTCCATGGGCTACTGTGGAATCTGCGCCTTGCGCCCTGGAGCTTTAATAGCCATCTGCAAAACCCGAGCTCTCCACGTGTGAACTGCACCTATGACGACGCCCAGACGTGCCCGATCGGAATGTGCTGTATCGGCGATGACACAAGATTCATGGGATGGGAATGGGAGATTACCTGACATCTACTACAATATACACATGTCATCTCCACATACTTGAAGTTGTAGCCACTACCACCTTAATATGTAGATCAACTGTTCCGGTGAGTTGCCGCAAACAGCTACAATAGAACGACCCTAGCGGCTATTCGGCCCCTCGATCTGCATGGACCAGTGCCCGACCGAAGACTCAGCCTTGGGAAGTCAGGGAGGCTTAGAACTATCCAATGATATCACAAGTTGTGGGCATAAAAAGAGGTGGTTCCACTGCGGAGAAGTGCAGGTGTTTACCTTTGTCACATTTAAAACCAGTGACTACCCCCCTTCTTCATCCCTTCCATATCAAATCCTCACATTTGAACATCCAAATATCATCCTCAAGACAACAATAATAATTCGACCATGTCTGAAAACGGCGCAAGCACCAGCAAGGCTCCCGTCACCGATCGTGGAGCAGATCGCTCTTTGGTCGATGTCCAGCCATTTCGCATGAGCGATCTTCAGCCCAAGTACGCGCACCAAATCGACCATGATTCATCTGATAACCCAGATGCTCACGGCTGGTACGCCAGTTTGAGTGAGTCGCGCTAATCCCATACGTGCTGCGATTCTCGTCCTAACTATATCTAGTCCACGGCCTTGGTGAATGTATCGGTTTCTTCGGAGCTATCCCCTGCTGCATCTGCTGTCCCAACCCGTTCAAGCCTGTCGACCAGGGTGAGGTCGGTTTGATCTCGCGATTTGGACGGTTAGTTATCCTCCTCTTGGCCATGTCATCCATCGATTATCACTCACTAACAATGCTTATTCTAGCTTCGAGCGATCAGTCGATCCTGGTCTGGTTAAGATCAACCCGCTCAGTGAACACATCACCACGGTCGATGTCAAGATCCAAATCGTCGAGGTGCCCCGTCAGGTCTGTATGACCAAGGACAACGTTACCCTCAACCTGACCTCCGTCATCTACTACCAAGTGGTCTCTCCCCACAAGACCGCCTTCGGTATCTCGAACGTGAGACAGGCCCTCGTCGAGCGCACCCAGACAACACTGCGCCATGTGATCGGCGCGCGCGTCTTGCAAGACGTGATCGAGCGTCGTGAGGAGATCGCCCAGTCGACCTCGGAGATCATCGAGGAGGTAGCAGCCGGGTGGGGAGTGAAGGTCGAGTCGATGCTGATCAAGGATATTATCTTCAGCAACGACCTGCAGGACTCACTCTCGATGGCGGCGCAGTCCAAGCGCATCGGTGAAAGCAAGGTCATTGCCGCGCGCGCTGAGGTCGAATCCGCCAAGTTGATGCGCCAGGCTGCCGATATCCTGTCCTCCGCTCCGGCTATGCAGATCCGCTATCTCGAAGCGATGCAGGCCATGGCTAAGAGTGCAAACAGCAAGGTGATCTTCTTGCCAGGAATGACGCCGAATACGTCCCAGCAACTGGCTGCCGCCACCAATGCGGGAGAGGGCCCGAGCAACTACGGTGCCCCGACCAACAACACCGATGGTGGCTTCCAGGGTGCGATAAATGCTCGTGTTGTCGAGGACATCTAGAGATGTGATCCTGATGATCTGCATGCGTCGTCTTCTTCCCTTCTTATTTAATTGGTCAATTGCATGAAGATATGACCCTTCCCCTTCTGCGATTTGCCTTGCCTTTCCGGAAAGTGGACCCCTTGAGAAGTTGTTCCTCGACAGCTCATTCGACTGCGCTCCCGGGATTTTGATGTTTTTGTATTATGGCTGGATGCGATTGGATTCGTGACGATACCCACCTTCGTTTGCTGCTAATATCGCAACTGTTTTAATGTCTATGGCTGCTTTGCTACTTATTTAGTATAATGAAATGCTCCTCGCTCTGCACTACTGCTTTTCATCTGTCGCGCCTAATATATCCGGGCGTGTCAGCAAAGATATTGTACAATATTGTATGTACAAGACCACGACTCATCATTTGACTTCGGATGCGGAGAACATTCACGGTTTCAGCCACTTAAAGTGATAGAAGGGTTGGGCAGGACGGGCTGGAAGTTTATAATTAGCGAAATCCACTTGGGATGTCTAGTATTCTCGAATTGAGGTTGTTATCCTTTTTCAAACTATTGAAAGCTGCCATACGGCTTTGTACTCCGTACCCTTAGCTTCATCTGATTTTCGTGGCGTAGCCCTACTTTGTGATGGCGTTCCTGATGAGTCTCAGCCGCAGCCAAGACATGGGATCTTCTTGGTAGAAAACGTGCGTGAAGACGCTAGCGTGTTACTGGACACTGCGATGCCGATCTTGGGTATTCTCCGTGGATTTTCCATAGTTTACTTTGACTAATTGGGGGAGTTATTGGGGATGGTTGTTTTATATTCAGATTCATGTCAAATCCCCTAGAAATAAATGCAAAATCTAACTAACTTCGGGGCAGTGTGAGAGCTTTGGATGAGAAAGTTATAGAATCAGCGCTAGGGAAGAGGAGCTAAGATCAATTCGGAGATTACACTACAGATATCCCTAACGGTCAAAATAAGCCCCCTTTCGATTTGGGGGCCAAATGTTGATTTCGCTTTTCCGACCATACACACTACCCTTCTGCAACACCCTGTAGAGCTACCTAGCAGGTACAACTTCAAAATGGCGACCCCTGCGACCGAATCGACAGAGACGATCACGACGATGCCCATGTCGAGTATCTTCACTGCCCCCGCCTCATGCTCGAACTCGTGGACATTCGAACCACAGGCTGCAAACAATGTCCCAAATGGTATCCTAATTCAAAACGCCGTCGCGAACGACAATGCCGATCCTGCGTGTTTTCCTTCCGGGTACAGTCAGTATGGAAGAACTCGAGCGACTATCGCCTATAGCCCAGGCTATTGTCCAGGTGGATACACCTCGGCCGATTTAGTGATTCACAACCCGGCGACCACTGCCATGTGCTGTCCCTCGTGAGTGTGCAAAAAAAGACCCATTCTGGTTTCCCGCTCGGATATTGACTTCGAGACTCTAGTCACTTCTCCTACTACGAAGAAGAAAGGGAGGGCTCCACGACATTCGCCGGATGTCTAAGCCATCTCCCTAGTTCATCATCTACCATTGTCACCGTCCGCCAGGTCGACCACGAGAGCACACAGGTCATCGGTCCCGTCACGATGTGGGCGCAAGCAATCCAAGTCCAGCTAAAAGCTTCAGACAGAAGCCTGTTTGTATCCGCCACTACGACCGACACCTCGTCAGGCCAGACCGGCAGCGCAACATCAACACAAACGGGTCCAACAACTACGTCAGACCCAGACACGGAGACAGAGACAAGCGGCCTGTCGACAGGAGCAAGAATCGGCGTTGGCGTCGGTGTCGGCGTAGCAGGACTCATTATAATCGCCGCGTTGGCATTTTGGTTATTCCGCCGACGCCAGAAGAAAGCGCAGAAGGGTCTCCCGGACACGTCGTCATTCGGAGGGAGCCGCCCAGAACCCAGCGAGCTTGGGGGGAGCACTCAATTTGGTACAAACCCATCATACCAACGCGCAGGACAGGCAACACCGAGCGAGCTTGGTGGGAGTTCGCAGGCGGGGACGTCTAGTAGTGCGGCGAACGCGACTGGTCCTTCTGAACTGGCGGGAGATCCGGGCCAGAAGTCGGTGCATGAACTTGGTGCTTAGCTTTTTGTTTTGTTTTTCTTGTGTTGCAAAATCAGAATTATACCCCTTCCCTCGCTCGCCTCTCGGCCTCTGCAATACCTGGCCGACATGAGTCTATGGAAACGAGGCTTAAATGCTTCTGTGTAAATAGGCGCATGCTATTTCCATCGGAGGACTTGGATGCTGCAATCGATGCGCAGCGATATGAAGTCTCGGCTTGGGCTTGTCGAGTCTTATACCAGTATATATGCTCTCTCCTGCATGATGGGGCTTGTTTGGGATACATGGCCTCCATCGGATGTAAATATAGCTCAACTGCAGAGGCAATATATTATAATGGCCCTTTCTAGCTTTTACCATTGCGCCAATACTGCTATCGTACGGCTTTCTCTAGGATGAAGATCGTATCGATAATGTGCAATGAAGAAACCAAGTCATATATTATCTTCGATGGACCCACTGCTAAAACTAGCCAAATGGCCGTTTGCTATTCCACTAAGGCGTATAATATACACCATAACGATGACTATTCTGCATGTAATGTTCGAAGTCACCAAGCGCTAAACTGGGCGGCATCACATATTGTCCTTCTTCACCGACCGCCCTTGCCAATTCAACTTGATACCGCGCAGGAAAGCCAAAGTCTTTCGGAAACACATTCTCGTCTGTTCCCAACAAAATTTTCTTATTCCTCAGCTTGTCCATGTCCTGCGATGCAAAGTGGTTCTCTAACAACCCCTTCCATTCAGCCAATCTCGGGAGTCCAATAGAGTGAGCACCAGAGCAAAACAGAAACGCGAAACCGTTTTTGAACTCCTTCCCCTGACACATTTTCAGATACTCTTGGAGCCGCTCAAATGATGGTCTAACAGGAAACATCGTCCAAAACGGCGTCAGGTTGTACCTGATAGCCAACCACGGCTCCATTAGAATGAAACTATCGACGAGAATTGAATCAATTGGACGGCGCAGTTGCTCCTTCCATTGGCGATCCGCATCAGCAACGACAGGACTGGCATCTTCAGGATGATCGTAGTCAAGATACTTGATCTTAAAGCCATGCTCCTTTGCGAACTCGACGATATCATTAGTCAAGCCGTCTGCATAGCCCCATTCTGCTTCGGGGGCTTCACAGTTAGATGGCGGGGCGTTCCAGTCCGTCTTATATTCCTTCCCCATTACTGTGCCAGCCATTTTCGTCAACGGGGACTTTTCTGATTCCACAAATTCCTTCACATTAGTCGACCCTCGGAGAAATTCTTTTGAAGTTATACCTCCAACCGCTCCGCTCTGGAAGTAATGGCGATTAGCGACCTTTGTGGACGGCCATTTCGATCCGCACCGAACGAGTATGATCGTCCCATTCGGTTCCAATGCGCTCAAAAGGAAATTCTTGTATGCTTCAGTCATCTTTATGAATTTCAACCTGAAGTACGCCATATGGCGAATCATCAACTGGTCCTGGTTCGGATCCGCCATGTGGTATAGTTCGATTCCTGGGTTCCTCCGCAGCAATTCCTGCCCTACACTCCTTCCCCACTCCATTTCTGCTGTCATATCAAGCTGGCCCTGTCTAAATGCCGCGCTCTTTGGTCGCTTAACAGGCATGAGAAGTGTTTGGGGAAGCCACGGAATGCCCATCATTGCGTAGAGATGCGTCAACGCGCCGTTAGTGCTTCCAATGGCCACAGCAGGATATTTTCGATGCGCTGGAAAGTGCGCAGCAACTGATTCAGTGATACTTTCTGCCTCAAATGTCGAGGCAACGTCACCTGCAGCTTCGTGGGCGCCGAGCGTGGAGAATATCGTATCACGTAGGTATGATGGTAGCCAGTTGATGAGTGGCATAGCTGGAGCCAAAGATGTTGGGATGCCAAGTTGGGGGAAGTCTCGGAAATTTAAGTGACGCCCAATTGCGCGAAGCATAGAAGATGCTGAGTCAAAGTCAGCGACCCCCTGCAGCTTGACATATACGCGGTCCAAATCTGCTGAGCGATCCAAGGAGAGGAACGGAGCTATCTTTGAGTATTGATAGAGGATCATTATTTCCATCGGCAGGAATCCTGAAATGGACTTCCATCTGCCGATGGAACACTTCCACATAACGAAGCCAGTAAAGAATCCGAGCGCCAATTGCCATCCAGCTAAATGGTATCTCTGCTTTGCCGCTGCTTCCCTTTTCTGGTTTATTCTCGTCACACGCTCGAGAATATCTCTCCCCGCCCGTCCGATCTCCTCATCATCCTGGATCAGCAGGTAGCGCAAGACGCTCCGAGACATTATTTCTGTCGCCGAGTAATTTGCAGTGTGGGCAGCCTTTTTAAGAACATAATGTACTGCATTAGGCATTTTTTCTGACAATTCCGCAACCCATCTGCAAGGCGTGATTGGATCCAGTTCACAACTCAACAGTAACGTTGGATTATTCACTTCCTGCAGTGCATCCAAGATGCGGTATTCCGCCGTTGCACGGAATAAAGCGAAAGCCCTACGCAGTCCAGCGCGCCAATAATCTTGCAATGAGATTAGGCTCATTGACATCGGTTCGTTCCTACTGTTCGCGGCGGATGCAAGCAGAGTCTTGAGTGTCGATTGATGGCTTGTATCCACCGTGGGACCCTGCAGAACAAGCCGATCAACCCTGTCCGGCCAGCGACGAGTGAACTCTGCAAGAATCTGACAGCCCAAGGAATTGGAGACAAGATGCGCCTTCCTTATTCCTGCCACGTCCATCCAATCATGCAGTCCTTGAGCTAGTTGGCTTATGGAGACAATATCACACTTCTGTATTGCTTTGGAGGAACGCCCGAACCCAGGTAAGTCGGGGATGAAAACGCGAAACCACGGCGCAAGATGTCTCCCGAGATCATGCAAGTAGCTGCTAGCAACCACCATACCATGAACGAGTACCACAGGAAGTCGCCCGTAGTACGCTTCCGATTGCAGTAGCTGTTCCCGTTCGAACGTGTCGCATGTTGTGGATAAGGAACCGGATCGATGGAAGGGCGGAATGGGAGACGTTAGAGCATGAATATCAGACTCGTAACCCGGAACATGATAAAAAGTTGATTGCAGACGAATATTCGGATTGAAATCAATTTCCATCGACATGGCCGGAGACGCTAACGAGGAACTGGTAGGTAACAGCGGTCACGGAAGCTATCAAAATTTATTGGGAGCAGTACGCAAGCATAGTCAATTGCCTCAGTACATTGTTGCGTCCAGATGTCATCTGAGCGTGTACAAAACAGCTAAGTCTTGTTTAGAAGTTTCCACGGGTCAAATGTTAACTGAAGTAATGATCGGTTGTTCTCATCATGACGTTGTTGAGGCGTCGTCAAGCGTATATTACCAGACCATAGTCGAAACCGAGTTTCTTGTTTAGGGAATACATAGTCTAATATTGAAAATCAAGGAAAAACTGCTTTCTTTGTATAGACTTCATGATGGACCTGTATTTACCATATCAGTCTGAAACCGAACCTGGCTCTTCATGACCAGTCCGCCTTGGACATTCACGAGTGCCCAGGTAGAGCACGTCCAAGGCTCATGCCCACCTCAACATCAACAGCAATGGCTTCCTTGCTAAGGTTCAGCAGGTCTTCGTCAAATGATATACGACCACTTTCGAAGGCTACAATAATGGATGAACCACCGAATTGGAAAACACCCAATTCTTCGCCCTTTTGAATCTGGTTCCCAGCAGTCTGCCATCGGTCGTGTATCCTAGACACATATTAGTTGAAGTACAGGGAGCCAGCAATACTCGTGTCTCGTACTTTACAGATCCCACATCTGTGGCACCGATTGCCACAAAAAGAACGTCCCCCAGATGTTCACTCTCGATGACGACATAATCGCGAGCGTTTCGATCGAGGATATCAATATCACTTTGGATCGCCAGGGGATCAACTTCATAATAGTCCCCAGGCATGCTTCTAAACAGTTTAATTTTTCCGGTAACCGGACTGTGATATCGGTGGTAATCTTGTGGCGACAAGCGAAAACTGGCAACTGCTCCATTCCCAAATTGTGCGCCAAGACGATTATCCATTACTAGGTTAGTAATGGAAAAGTCCAAGCCTTTGATCCATATTTTCTTGCTTTGCTGCACCGACTCGTAAACCACGACCCGCGAGTCAGCCACGACAACTGCGCTGGAGAGGTCGTCTTCCGCGAATATAGGCCTCGAGCCTGACTTATGAGCCCGGACGAAAAAGTCTTCGAACGTCGGGTATGCGCTGGTGTCTGATGGTTCAAAATCATCCATTTTGATCCTGTAGAAGTCCACAAAAGTTTTGATTTGCTGCTTTGAAGCTGGCGTGCCCTCCTCTCTGCCTTTTCAGAATCGTCAGTGTTCTTCTTTCCTCGCAGTGGTCGCGCGTTCTCACCTGCTTTTTCACTTTTTCTGTGCATATAGAGACGCATTGCATGAGTGGTGTCCAGCCATTCGGTCAGAGGGTTAAATAGAAATAGGAGTTTGAGCTTTTTCATAAGTGGTTGCTGTTCGCGAATACGCCGACCTGTCTGCGTCCGTCAGCTAACTCTTTACCGAGGGTCGTTGATGCGTACTTTGCGATCAACCGTTACACAGCCAACTTCCCGATTCTGAGCCTGTTCATCTTATTAGCCCAGTGGCTGTAATTCTCCTAAAAAGGCGACGAGGGTCCTAGCATACCAGTTTGAGGCATGATAGCACGTAATCCACGGCGCGATGGAGAAGACTGAAGACCATTTTGTTGGCTTAGGCGCTATATTTGCCCCTATAAAAATTGTGTCTGTCCCCGTACTTAGTTTGATCGACTGACCGTTTTGGCTCAGTGGAGATATATGCGGTGGGTTCTTTGCTCATCACGTCTATATTACGACAGATTATCTCAATGAGGTCACGCATGTCTCAGTCTGCCATATCCTTGCCGAGTAGAATTGAATTTGCCGCACTGTGCGTACTCGCGGGAGTGCTCATAGAGGGGATGACCTTCCTCAACAGAATGACGTCAACATGCTTTGCCTTCAACATCTTTGGATCGCATATTGGCGAAGGGAACGGTCGTGTTGTTTGCTCCTAGTCTTCTTTTTATGCAATTCGCACTTGTGGGGTTGGGCAGCGCGCGCGTCATAGCCGAAGGACTATGAATGCAAAAAGAAATTGCTTGATATGAGCTTGACTATGTTCTAATAAGGAGGCCTCTGATGTTTCTATAGTAGTTGCTTTCTCTCTCCCTTGCTTTTAAGAGCGGTATAGTCGCTAGCGGACTGTGTTTAGATGTTAAGAGCGATTCTAGAGTCGTCTGGCAAGCCTGATATGATTCCGAAAAGAGTGCTGATAGTCGTGGCGAAGATCTTGTTATTTTGTTGGCGCTCTTGTCTGTCTCGAATCGGGCGCGCGCTTTCTCGTCGTATAACTCTAGCTCTAGGAGCAATATAACTGTTCGGATACAAGTTCTTCTATATGCGGTAGATAATGTCCAAAACTCTTCTAATCGCCTAATAGTTTTGATACAGATATACGAAAACGTGTGTCTTTCGATGATAGCCTGCCAGCGACGGTTCAGTGGCGTTTAGGGCCAGGTAAATACGAGGCTTTCTTCCTGCAGGTCTATCGGAAATAATGTAGTCCACCACTCGGGAGACCAATTCTGGTGGCAGTGACTCCATTTCGTATATGAAGATGTGGAATGAAGAACTAATGATTCCCTTAGTTTAGGTATAGAGCTCAGATCAAAAGCGGCAAGGAGCTATACCTAAAATAGTATTGACCATACCTAATAAGGCAGATAGAAGGCGGTGGGGCGTGGAGATATCGATCTCCCCGCGGAGGCCAGCTCTCTCTTCAAGTATGAATTGACCTCGAGACGAAGCTCCAAAGCTCCGAAATCAGAGCTTTACACAAATGGCATCACAAACATATAGCTCGTCAACCCGAGCTGGTGTCAAGCCATCGAATTCCGCTGCGTCCCCTAACTTCGCCGATCCGAACTTCGACCCAGCCGACTTCCTCAATGATTCTCTATCACCGCTGACTGTGGCATCATCACAACCTAATGCTTCTCGGTCACCCGGATCCGTGCCACTGACGGAGCTGTCTACGCAAGTCCAGTCCCTCCTCTCCCAGATTAGCGCCCAAAACATCCGTCTCTCGAGCACATTATCCCAACTCACCGACGAAATCCTCCGAAGCGGTGGACGACTAGCCTACCAAGTTGAAGTCCTACGAGGCGAGACAATCGGGCTATCCGAAACCCTAACGGAAGTCCTACGCGACCACATAACAAAGTTCGTCCCGGAACCCTCACCAGAAGACGGGCGCAAGACCGAACAAGCAGAAGAGGATGGGCCAACGAACGAAGAGGAGTCGGCAGCAAGCACAGATAACAAGAACACACCCGCCGTCCCGACAGACCCAGAATACATAACGAACCTCCGCACATTGAACCAAGTGCGATCGCGCCTAGAAGATGTTGTGCAGACATTCGGCGACGCGATGAGCTGGCCGCTACCCCCATCCGAGATATCATTCTCATCATCCTTCATCTCGGTCTCAGGACCGGACCTTGGACCCGAAGGCCAAGACCGCGAAGAAAAGGGCCAAGAAATGATGAAGAAGCTACGCACAGAAGTGACCGAGCTACTCGACAGTGAAGGCGGAGGATACGCCGGACTAGACGCTGCCAATCGTCGCGTTGAAGCTCTGCGGACGCTAGCGGCTGTGTGGAATACGTCGGCTGAGGAAAAAGCCCGCAATCGGTTCGTGGATAGCCTGGCGAATATCGTGGAGGATCGACGGCGCACTTTGGATCAACAGCAGGCGGATCAGAACCAGCGAGGACAGTCTAAGTCCAGGTCTGAGGCTCGGCGGGATAGTGACAGTGGGGCACCGGCTGGTGGGCTGTTTCGGAATTTACAGCGTTTGAGGGAAGAAATTTACTTGGAGTGAGACAATGTTATTTACATGGTTCAGGGAATGTCTGTTGAGCTGGTTCTCTACACGAAGACTTGGACCTGCCTGTATAGTAATTGCATATTTTACAACCAATCTCGCATTTTGTGCAAACTACTATTCA